ACATTCATTCTTTGAACTGGGTATAAACATCCTCATTTTTAAAATCAAAGTAACTGAGACTCAAAGAACTTGCTCAAAATCATACAGCTGAGAAGAGATGAAGTTTACATCCACACTAGCAGATGGCCTCCTCTGCCTTGCCTAAGACCACTGGCAGAAGTCACCCCTCAAAGACCCTGGGGCCTAATAAGGACAGATCATCCTTCCTTTCCAAATACTGAAACTCAGCACTTCTGGGGCCTTTGTGAGCAGATCGCTGCTTCCTTACCCACACAGCCGATGGTCACCACCCCATCCTTGTAGTGTTCCCGTGTTGGGCCAGCTGGCTCCATTGCTGAGTCAGTCTGCTGTTCCACCAGGACTACAGGCCCATCCTCTTCTTCCTCCTCCTCCCCAGAGCCATTGCCCCAGGTGGCCCCAGCCACATCTCGAGCAATCTTCTCCCGCCAGCTGCTCAAGTCCACTGTTCAGAAAAAAGATAAAGAAGGTTTCCTGGGGCCTCTGTGTATGATGGCATAGCTGCATAGCTGGTGTCACTAGAATATTCTGGAGTCTCACAGTGACAACCTGCACAACTGCAGTCCACAATCTCCCCAGACTTCACTTTATCCCACCCTTGAGCCATATGCATTTTTCAGAGTTTCTGAAAAGTACCAGAAAAACTGAAAGCAGCAATCCACTAAGGATTCTGCCTATCTCCTGCCTCTCTTGTCCCACCAAGCCAGTCTGTTCTTTATTCTATCCCCCTTGTGCCCATCCATAATAGAGGGTAACAAAATGATTCTGGATCTTAGATCTCCCCTATGACCTCCAAGGATCACACACCTTTACCCACAGTGATGGCTTCACAGGCTCTCAGCAACTGTTCTGGCCCCAGGGCCCGAGTCCATCCTCTCCCCCGCCTCCGACTCTTCTTCAAGACTAGGATCAGAATGCACAGAGCAGTTATGCTTAGGCTTTTATATCTCATCTCTCCCACCACCCTCAGGCCCCCAGTTAGGTACCACCTTGCCAACAAGCCTCTCTTGTTTTTCCCTTTGCCCCCTGTCAACCATCTCTCCCATGCTGTCCTCCTCAAAGCCCACTCACCACTAGAGTCCTGTGGAGTGCGGGGGTCCCGAGGGAAAGAGGTAAAAAGGACAATGTGGAGTTGAGGATAGTGTTGGTGGAAATAATGCTTCCAGGCAACCACAAGAGCTGGTGGAGCTAGATCCACCTTATTCAAGACCAGCACGAGGGCCAGACCAAGTTCTCCAGTCACATACTCATAAAGCGCTGGTGGAAAATTCACAACCTGGGATAGAAGAATGAGAGGTCATCCCAGAGTTCTCTGTCTCCAGCTCCCCTCTCACGAAGCACATTCAGAGACAAAACCCTGGCAGTAGCAAATTCTGGGGTGAAAACAGTAAATCAGCCAAACTGAACAAGAAGGACAAAGCAGGGGTTAGTGATACCTGTGCAAGTCTCAGGGGGCTTCTGACAGGTCATGATTAGCATTTGAAGTGAACCAAAAATAAGATAAGGAAATAGCAACACCTTACATACTGAAGTAAAGACTAGAATCAGGAATAGAAATGAGGGTCAGGGTAGAAATTATTATGTATTGTGTGCACATAACTGTACAAGTGTATACACATGCATATGAGCATGCATCCAAGTATATGCTTATAGATGCAAGTTTATGTGTTRAGTATGTATGACTACAAACATGAGTATGTGTAAATGTGCCTCTGTGTATGAATATACACATGCATACATGTATTTGTGAATATGTGTATACACATTCGTTAAGGACTTCCAACCTAAATGTCCCCACAGACCTCCCTTTCTCCACTGGAGGACCACAATGAAGTGGCAGAATCAGGAATCACAGGGCAGTCCAGCAGCACAGCCTACAGCCTTAACTACTACCCTAACATTCCAGGTAGTTTCTGCAGCAACCGAGGTAGACAAGCTAGAGAAATGAAATAAGGAAGAAAACGCATCTTTGGGCTGGGCAGGAGGAAGCCCCCAGTTGCCTTCATTAGAATCCCTGGAGCTTCACACTGGAATTTTTTTTCCCATAACACTTTTATTTTATTTATTTTTATGCAGTGCTAAGGACCAAACCCAGTGCCTCACATGTGCTAGGCAAGCACTCTGCTACTGAGCCACAACCCAGCCCCACACAGTGGGATTTTCTATTGGTCTAGCTCTGGTGATGCTGTAAGACAAGACATGCAGCTTCTCATTAAAGGACATAAAAAGGAGTCAGCTAACCAGGATAGAAGCAACAGACTATGGCAAGACACAAACAGAAAAATTAGTTCCTGACTGCAGATATCAGCACACAGTAGATAGGGTAAAAAGAAAGGAAGGACAGCTCTCTGTTTTTCAAATTCTACCTCTGACTTTTACCCATAAGAACCTGACCCTCTTCCCCCTTGCCCACCCTCATCCCAAGTACTCACTGGATGACGAATATCAGTGATGAGCAAGACAATATCAGACATCTCTAACACTCGCCATAGCTGCCTCCATGTCTGAAAAGACAAGATCAGAAGAGAATCTGAACCCAGAATTCCTTTCCAGCCTCATTCCAGAAAAATTTACCAATGGATCACACTACCCCATTCCTGTCCCCATTCTATTGTCACCTCTAGATTGTGCTCAAAGTAGCTGAGTTTCTCTGAAGTATAAGCCCCGTGTATCTTCCCAAGATACTCCTGAAAGCTTCGTTCCTCCTGGTTCATTAGCTGCTCCTTGGACATCTCATAGCTCCAAGGAGGACGCCGGGGAAAGTCCAGGACTGAGAAAACAGTAAGAAGTGCAAGTACAAGGATGTTTTCAGTATTAAAGTGTGCATCCCAGACCCCTCCTTCCTCACAGTCAACCCTTACCCTTCCAAACTCTCCAAGCCCCTTGCATGGGAAACACCAGTCTTGTCTTGTCCTCACTCACCTGAACCAGGCTGATAGACCTCCCGTATGTCCAGTTCCAACACCTCAGCACTGAGGGGCTGTAGCACTTGCTCCCGGGCTGCTCTCTTTCTCCTCTCCACCTCCTCCCGACTGTCCCGCTCAAAATGAAGCCGGTATCTAAGGGAAGAAGTATCATACATCTAGCAAGACCACAACCCCTACCCCTACCCCATCCCCCACAGAAAACAAAGTTTCTTCTCTTCAATTGTTCAAATTTCCTTTCAGTCAAGTCCCCCTTTCATAGAAGACAGGGCCAACCCCTTCTAAAAGCCAAACTCTCGGGTTGCTCTGGAAGGGAGAATTATGGCCTGCTCCGGGAGAACAGTGGCATTCCGGCCTCACCCTCTACACTTTCTCAAATGTCCACCAACAGCAGCTAGCTTTCCCTCAACACTCCCACTTTCAAGAAGGCGGGCAAGCCCGGGCCAGAGCCCCACTCCCTCCCTCACCCCTCCCTCACCGATTTGGATCATAAACTCGTGGACCCAGGCCCTGGGAAGGCTGCTGGTTGAGCCTGCGGATTTGATGGGTCACAGATTCCCCATCAGAGGTATCGGTCTGCTCCTCCCGCCGTTCCCGGCTCCCGCTGCGGCTGTTGGAACTGGAGCGCAGCCCATCTTGAAGCCCTGCACAGAGGGAAGAGTGACGCCAGTGCAGGCTAGCTCTCAGGGGCCAAAAGACCCCCCTACCTGGACCTCCTGGCTCTCCTTCAGCCCATCCAACTACTTTTGAAGCTCAGTCCTCGGGGCCTCCCTCTCCAGGACCCTCCGGGTGTGCGTGGGGGTAGTCACTCTTCCAGGGAATTGCTGGGATGGCGCCCCGTTTGAGCTGGAGGGACTCCCCTCCCCCAACTCTTCATCCTTTCCCATCCCTTCCAGACAAGGGGGGGCGCGCTGGAATGGGGGAATCCCCTCCGCGGTTGCCCACGCAGATCCGCGCGAGCCCACTCCCCCTCCCACGCCCCCCAGAGGTGCGGCAGGCACACCCCTCCTTCCAGATGTGTGGGAGCCCGAGTCCCGCCCCCTCCTCCGCTCCCGCACTGACCTCGCTTCCGCTCCCGTTTGTCCTGCAACTGCTTCTTCTTCTGCTTCACGCTGAAGGGCTTCTTCCTCGGCATGGCCCGGACCAGTCACCTGGCCCGCCCTTCGCCGAGCTACAGCCGCCTCAACTGACTCCCCCCCGGTAGTCCCCGCCGCAAGGGCCCGGGACCCTTGAGGAGGCGGAGCTATCAGGTGACGTCAGCGGGAGGGCACCACCGACTTGCCGCGGCGGTCGGGATGGAAAGCGCACGGGGGAAACAGTCACTTCCCTCTAGAAGTGAGGCGAGAGGGTGATGCGGGGTGGGCTACGGACACATGAGAGCCAGTGGCACCGAGAAGGCGCAGCGGCGGCGAGGAAGGAGGCGCGCGTGGGAGGATCGAACTAACTCCGTCACGGATTCTACCAACGAGCGCCCGGTGAAGGGGGGACGCGTGTCATCACTACCTTGCGCTCGGGGGAGAAGCTACCACTCACCTGGAGGGGGCGGCGGAGAGGAGGAGGGCGGGTCCTACTACCCTGGGGAAAGGGAGGCGTGGACACGTTGAAGCTACACTACCAACCCGGGAACTTGACCTTAGTGGAAAGCAGAGACTGTGCGTCCAAGGAATAAAACCAGGTTGCTGTGTTACACTGGGGGCACSGTCAGAGGTCTTGAGGGACGGGTAGAGGTTCTGGGTGCCGACCTGCTGGGACCCAAATTCCCTGTGGGAACGACGAGAAGAAGCAGGCTTATAGATCCTAAGTGCAAGCGCAGGCCAGAAGAGAAATCCAGTTGGGACAGGACTTTTGGAAACGGATCCGAGAGCACGAAGTTGTGCCTGCAGTCGTTACCATAGTAACCGCGGGCCGGATGTGGCGATTTGAACACGCGACAGGCCTTTCCTCTCAGGCTTTCTGGCCCGAAAGCTTGCCGACTCTGTGGCACTGTGAAAGCTACTTTTCACCGTGGAGAGAGTTTTTTTAAGCACTTGTAGAAACGCGGCAAAGAGAAGAGTTAGTGTTTTCGCCCTGCCTGGCAGAGATATAAGGAGGCGGTTTACATGAGAATGCAGCCACAGCAAAAAGTTCTCAGCTGCCTTCCGGAAGTGGAGTGGCGGGAACCTTGGCCTCAGTGCCCACCGCCCCCCGGAAGCGGAAACAGAATCTCAGCGTGCCCCTTCCTCACTGCCCTCCAAATCCCGCTGCAGCCATTGCCGCAGCCACGATGCCGAAACGAAAGAAGCAGAATCAGCAACAGCAGCCGCCGCCGCCACAGCAGCCACCACTGCCCGAGCGGGAAGAGACTGGAGATGAGGAGGATGAGAGTCCCATAGGTGAGGGGCCTGGGAAGGGTGTGCACATGCTTGTCAGCCATTCCAGACCAGGGACTAGGACTGCTAAAGTGCGGGGGAGGGGGCTCTAACGGAAGGAGGAAGGGCGCACGCGCGGGGGTGGGGCAGAGGAGGCCTGTTGATGGTAGAACCTTGAATGAGGAGTTCTCCTACTTGAACCCTCAAGCTCAATCCCAGGCCCAAACCTTTCTGGACCAGGCGGAGGAGGAGAGGGCAAAGAGCCCGTTTGCGCAGCCGCCGAATGGCAGGGGAGAGGGGCAGTAAAGATATCACATTGCGATGACAGGGTTGACAATTTGTGACCACATTTCACAGGGAAGGTAGAAGTACAGCCTTCTGTAAACCGCTCCCCTGAGGAAAGGTCTCATTGGCCAGCAACTAAAGGTTGAACCTTTGGATTATCTCTGAAATCACCTGGGATGTTATGGATAGTATAAGGCAAAGATAAATTGTCAGTGCCCTTTGATTGAGTCTCCACTTTTTGCCAAACCTGAAGCAGCTTTACAAAGGGCAGATGGACGAGGTGAGAATTTGCAACACCGTTGAGAACATAATTGATCTTACAGAATGAATTGAGAAATGAGTAATAGAACAAAAACACATAAAGGAACATCAGTTCTTTAATCTGCTTTGATGACCATATTTTCGTGTCTACTCTTAGGACCACCCAGCCTTCTGGGCCCTCCTCCCATGGCCAATGGAAAGCCTGGTGACCCCAAGTCAGGTGAGGAGGAAGGGCCCTGATTCTTGTTTGAGGCCCAGAGGAAGGGAGCAGGGGAGGGAGTAAAACTCATCAAAGTTGAGGATTCTGTATCTGATGAATGGAGAAAAGTTGTGTATGCACGTCTTTGAAAACTCAATGTTGTAAAAGTTGTCATTTCCTCCTAAAGTAATCTCTAGATTCACTGCATTTCCTCTCAGAATCCCTGTCATGTTTTTGTGGAAATAAATATTTGACATTATTATATGAAAATGCAGAGGATATGGGTGAGAGACCACCAAGACATTCTTAAAGTAGGAGGTCTTACTATGAAAACCAAGACTTACAGTAAAGCTCCAGTAGTTATAAAAATGTGATTTGGGCACAATAATGGATATATAAGTCAATAGAACAGTTTAGCATCCAATAATAGGCCCACAGATCTAGGAACACTTCGTTTATGTAAAGGTAGAACTGAAGAAGTAGTATTTTCAATAAATGAAGCTGAACTGATTGGACATTCATGTGGAAAAAATGAAATCTGACTTCTTCAGATTTCAGTGATCAGATGCAAACGTCAGTCCAAATGAACTGAAGTGTGAAAAGTGAAAATCATTCTTTTAGAAAGTAAATTTGAGAAAAGCTAAGAGTTTTTAAACATGTGTACTAATCATAAAAAAAGATTGATAAATTTAACATCAGATAAGCATGTGTTAATCATGGCATCATTAAGAAATTAACAGAAAGCCTTAGAGTAGAAGATATTTGCAACAAATATAATCAATAAAGAGTTTATATATAAGATATATATAGGAACTCTTTCTGAGACAGTCTATTAGAAAAATTGACCAAAAGAAAAGAAAGGCACCTTATAAAAATGGAGATCTAAATACAAGAATGTGTGAACATGTACTTAATATCCTTAATTATCAAATAAATGCAAGATTAAAACATACTACTTTGAAATTAGAACTTCTGCATTGAGGGGATTGTAAGATGGTACAACCATCTTTCATAAACAGTATGGAAATTCCTCACAAAGTTAAAAATAAAGCTACTATATGATCTAACACTCCTATTTCTGGATTTTTTATGCAAAAGAATTAAAAGGAGGGTCTTGAAGAAATATCTGTATTTTCATTCACTGTAGCACTATTCATAGTACCCGAGAGCCGGAAGCAACCCGAATATTCATTGTCAGAAAAGTGGATTAAAAAAAAAAGGTGTAAACAAAATGCTGTCATACACTATAGCTTGGATAAACCTTGAGAACATTATGCTAAGAAATAAGCTGGTCACAAAAGATGGTATGATCTTACTTCCATGAGTATCTAAAATCACATTCAAAGAAACAGAACTGGGTACTGTGGTATGCGCCTGTGATCCCAGCTACTCAGGAGGCTGAGGCAGGAGGAAGGTGTTTGAGACTAGCCTAAGCAACATGGCGAGATACCCATCTCAAAAAACAAAAAAGGAGGAGGAATAGAAAAAGAATTGGTGGGATGGTGGTTAGTAGTAGCCCAGGGGAGGGGCAGGGAGTTGTATAAAGTTTAAGTTTTGCAAAATAAAGTTCTGGGGAATTGTTTCACAACATATGAATATACTTAACACTACTAAACTATGCATTTAAAAATAGTTAAGATGGTAAACTTTTATATTATGTAGTTTTTACCACAAACAGTCTGCCACTTCTCACAACAGAAAGACAAAATAACAAGTGTTTTTGAGGCTATGGAACTACTCCTTGGARTGTAAATTGGTACCACTACTTTGAAACAAAGTTTGACAATATCTACTAAACTTGACTATCTGTTACACTTGAATGTGCATACGCTGTTTGACCCAGCAATTCCTCTGCTACCTACCTATATACTCAACAGAAATACATACGTATGTGTAACAAAGACATATATAAAAAATGTTCATAGCAACATTTCTTGTTATAGCCCCAAACTGGAAACCACCCACATGTCCATCATCAGTAGCATGGATAAATCAGTTGTTTGTATGCATGCAATGGGATACTACACTGCAATGAAAATGAATGAACTACTGCTACAGGCAACCTGGATGAATCTCACAAACATGTTGTGCGAAAGGAGCCAGACACAAAAGAATACAGACTGTATGATTTAATGTATGCAAAGTTCAAAAACAGGCAAAAACTAATTTGTGATGTTACAAGTCAATGGTGGTTACATTTGGGGAGGGGGAAGGGATACATGGGTGGGTCTTTTGAAGTGCCAATAAGGCTCTATCTCTTCACCTAGGTGGTGGAAACACAGGTGTGTTTCTTTTGTGATAATTGAGCTGTGCACTTAAAACTGGTTATCTTTGTCTATATGCTGTACTTCAGGGGAGGGATCAGGCTTCTGTGTCAGGATTAAGCTGCCCATTGGTCACCTTTCTGTGTCTTTCTTTGTCCAGCTCTTCACAGAGGTCCTCCAGGATCAAGGGGACTGATGATTCCACCACTGCTGAGTCTCCCACCTCCTCCCCGGGGCAGAGGCCCAATCCGGGGAGGCCTCGGCCCCAGGTCTGGCCCATATGGTCGTGGTTGGTGGGGGGTCAGTGCTGAACCCCCTTTTCTGGGGCCAGGCCATGGGGGTCCCTCCAGGGAAAGCTTTCACAAAGAGCAGAGAAACCCTCGAAGGCTCAAAAGCTGGTCTCTTATCAAGAATACCTGCCCGCCTAAGGATGGCCCCCAGGTTATGGAAGGTGAGGTCCACTTTGTTATGCCTGTGCATATTTCATACCCATTAAATCCCAGTGGCCTAATTCCCAGGATTCCCACGACTCCTCTCTTTGGGGCTGTATTTATTTATTTACTTACTTATTTTATTTTTTTCCCCCTTTTGTGATTCTGGGTATTGAATCTAGGGCCTCGGGCATGGCAGGTAAACACAATACCACTTAACTACACCCTCACCCCCTGGACCAACTTTTTTTTTTCCCCTCTAAGTACTGGGGATTGAACCTGGAGTGTTCTACCACTGAATTATACCCCCAGCCCTTTTTATTTTTTAGAGACAGGGTCTCTTAGTTACCCAGGCTGGCCTCAAACTTGGCCTCCTGCCTCCGTCTTGAGTCACTGAGATTACAGGCATATATCTATACCTAGAAGAACTAGTCCTAAATATTCTTTCTCCCAGGAGAAAGACTACCATTTCAAAATCCTAGAGGGCTAGGAGTTTAGTTCAGTGGTAGAGTCTGCACGTAGCACACCCAAGGCTCCTGCTAAAAAAAAAGCCAAAGTACCTGTAAGTAGTAGAAGGTAGCAAATCTGGCTTTATCTCTGCTTTTCATGGCATTTGTTTTCTGTCTTACTCAGATTTAAATTTACCTATTTTTCACTTGTTCACAGACAAATCTGACCGCCCCGTCTGTCGACACTTTTCGAAAAAGGGCCACTGTAGATATGAAGACCTCTGTGCCTTCTACCACCCAGGCGTCAATGGACCTCCTCTGTGAGACTGTGCCTTCCCATCCAGGCTGGAAGGAGCCCTCTGTGACCCAGCGGCCATGTATTTCCCTGTGGCCCTGTGATGGCTACTGTGAGGCTCTTCCACCCAACACCCTCGGTCAATGACACGTCCACCCCCGTCCACCACCTCCCTGGTTTGGGGTCCAGAG